AGAGATGGCTGTTACAGGAGGATATAAGAGAGGTTGTTGGGAAAGCTTGGGGTGAGGAACAACAGGGATCTAGACTGTATAAGGTGAAATGTAAGATTAAGAGAGTGAGGCTGGATCTGTTAAGCTGGAGTAAAGGGAGTCAGAGGAACTCTAAGACTCTGGTTGAGCAGCTTAAGAGGGAGATAAAGGAGGTCAAGGAGATCAAGCCTAGTGGTTATAGGATCAAGTTGGCTGGACTTAAAAGGAGGCTAACTGAGGCTTATAAAAGGGAAGAGCTATTCTGGAGTCAGAAGGCAAGGGTAAAATGGTTAAAGGAAGGAGACAGAAACACAAGCTTCTTTCATGCAGTGGTTGCTGGTAGAAGGAAGCAGAATAGAATTAGTGTGTTGCAGAAAAGGATAGGAGAATGGTGTGAAGATGTGGAAGAATCGAGTAAGGAGATTATAGACTACTTCCAGGAAATTTTTACCACAGGGAATCCAGTAGATTTTGTAGAAATTCTGCAGGGGGTGCCACAGACAATCACCTTGGATATGAATAGGAGGCTGACCAGGCCTGTTACAGAGCAGGAAATCAGACAGGCTGTCTTTTCCATGCAACCAAACAAGTCTCCAGGGCCAGATGGTATGCCTCCTTACTTCTTTCAAAAATTCTGGCAAACTGTCAAGTCTGATATAGTTAATGCTGTGCAAAGTTTTTTCCATTCTGGTCACCTCCTGAAGTCCATTAATGAGACCTTAATAAGCCTCATTCCAAAAACTGAGTCTCCCATTTCTATTACTGAGTATAGACCTATCAGTTTGTGTAATGTCCTCTATAAGATCATTGCTAAGGTTTTGACTTGCAGGTTTAAGAGTGTGTTGAATGTCTGCATTAGTGAGTCCCAGTCTGCCTTTGTTCCTGATAGACAGATTTTAAATAATGTCCTGATTGCTCATGAATGTGTCCATTTCTTAAAAAATAAGAGAACAGGGAGGGAGGGTTATATGGCTATCAAATTAGACATGTCCAAGGCTTATGATAGAGTAGAATGGATGTTTCTGGCTAAGATGATGCAGAGGATGGGTTTCTGTCCTAAGTGGATTCAATTGATTATGGAATGTGTAACTAGTGTTACGTATTCTGTGAACATTAATGGGGAAAAAGTGGGTTTTATCAAGCCTACCAGAGGCTTGAGACAAGGTGACCCCTTGTCCCCTTTTTTGTTTCTGATTTGTGCTGAAGAACTGTCTTCTTTGATCAGACAGGCTAACCTACAGGGACTGTTGTCAGGAATGAGGGTGGCTCGGGGAGCTCCCAGGTTATCTCACTTTTTTTTTGCAGATGATTCACTCATTCTCTGTAAGGCAAATGGAGAAGAGGCATGCAAGCTGAGGAGCATTTTGGAGATATACAAGGAGGCTTCAGGTCAACTGATTAACATGGAAAAGTCATCAGTGATGTTCAGTGGGAATGTGAACCATGGGCAGATAGTAGGGGTGCTAAGGGAATTGCAGGGAATAAGGAGGGTGGTACAAAGTAAGTACCTTGGACTGCCGTTGGTAATTGGGAGATCTAAGAGACAGGTGTTTGATTTTATTAGGCAGAAAACAATAGCTAGGCTGAAGGGATGGAAGGAGAAACTGTTGAGCCCAGCTGGGAAAGAAGTTCTATTGAAGGCTGTGATCATGGCACTGCCTACCTATGTGATGTCTGCCTGCTTGTTACCAAAGGCTTTGTGTAAGGAAATATGTAATGAGATGGCAAGGTTTTGGTGGGGTCAGAAGGGGGAGGAGAATAGGATCCACTGGTTGAGTTGGGAGAAGCTAACTGAGGTTAAAGCAGTAGGGGGGCTGGGCTTCAGGGAGTTGCATAAATTCAATTTGGCTCTGTTGGCAAAGCAGCTGTGGAGAATTTTGACACGGCCAAACTTACTGATGAGTAAGATTATGAGTGCCAGATATTTTAAAGGGCGTTCCATCTGGAGGACAAAGTGTGCAGGTGCTGATTCATGGTGTTGGAAGAGCTTGATGCAAGCTAGAGATTTACTAGAAGAGGGGCTGAGGAAGCAGGTAGGTGATGGTAAATCTATATACATTTGGAAGGATAGATGGCTTTCAGATTCTGAGGATGGGAAGGTAAAAACTAGGAAGGGGGAGGGGGTTAAGGTGCAGAGAGTGTGTGAGCTGATCAAAGATGGGGAATGGGACAGAGAACTGATTAAGCAGATTTTTGATCAGGATGAAGGAAGGAAAATTGTGGGAATTCCACTCAGTTTGGAGCCAAGGAAAGACAGGTTGTATTGGGCATTCTCAACTACTGGGGTCTACACAGTCAAGTCTGGATACAGCTTGGCCAAGAGCAAGGTAAGGAGGGGGAGGCAAGGGGAGTAAGAGACAGGAACTAGTTGCAGGAAAGAAGGGGCTACACGAAATTGGAGTTTTCTCTGGGGATTGAACATGAAGTACAAGTTGAAGCATTTTGTGTGGAAATGTCTGCAAGGCATTTTACCTGTGAATGCAGTAATTAAGGATAGGTGCTTGAGAGGGGATCATATGTGTAAAGGATGTGGGGAGAGTGTAGAAACCATAGAGCATATGTTGTTTTTCTGTAGGAATGCAACATGTATATGGAAAGCAGCCCCGGTGAGCTGGGAAGGACTGGAGGATCACAGAAGCAAATTCTGGTCATGGTGGGAAGAATTAGAGGGAGCTGGTAGTCAGGAGAGGGGAGTAGAACAAATTATACTGACTGTCAATTTATTATGGCAAATCTGGAAATCTAGAAATGAGAAACAGTTCAATGGTCAGGAAAGGAATCCGTTAGTAGCAGTGAATAAGGCAGTGGGGGAATGGAAGGAATTTCAGGATGCTCAAGCAGAGGAATTGGAGAGTCAGGGAAGTGGTAAGCATGAAGCAGAGGGATCAAAGGGGTGGAGGGCTCCTCAGGAGGGTTGGGTCAAGATAAACACAGATGCTGCATTACAGCAGAAGGAAGGCCTGGCGGGGTGGGGAGTGGTTGCAAGGGACTGGCAAGGAAAAGTTCTGAAAGCTTGGGCAATACCAAACCGTAGTTGTTCTAATCCTAAACTGGAAGAGTCAATGGCATTACGAGCAGCTATGTTGCTGGCAAAATAGCAGGGTTGGAAGAAGGTGGTGTTTGAATCGGATTGCCTACAGATGGTGGAGGAAATTAACAAGGAGCAGTCGTATGAAATAGGCTCAGTAGTATTGGATGACATCAGGGAACTTAGAACAAATTTTTATGAATGTTGTTTTACCTTCACTCGAAGAGTAAACAACTTTGTTAGCCATAGACTTGCCAAATTGGCAATTAGCTCAAAAAAACTAACTGAATGGAAGGATATCTTCCCAGATTGGTTGCCTGCACTGGTGCAAGCAGATATTGAGGGCAGTTGCCCATCTTACATGTAAAGTTTATGTATAGTAATAGAAGTTACCGACCTTTTGACAAAAAAAAAAAAGAAATGGATTATAGTTTTTGAACTTTTACAGTTGGCCCAACTTTTTTCTTTTGAACATGAAAAAATGATTCAATAAATACATATTTTCTAACCTTAAACACGAATTTATTATCCCATTTGTAGAATAGTTCCACCAGTTATTTCTTAGCATTTTATTCTAACCTATCCTTAAACACAAGTTGATTTGGAATTCTAACAATAATCTAGTATATATATATATATGTATATATATATATATATATATATTCAAGAACCTAAAGAAATCTGTGAATACAAATATGAGATATAAGAGGAACGTGCGACACAGATGATGGAGGCAAAGTAAAACGATGGAGACGGCAGAGTACTGACTAGTAGATTCATAGTCAATATTTTCAATATTAGCTAACATGTGTTCTTTTTGGGTATAATATAGTGGTTAATATTTGTTTTCATGGAAATTTTATAGTACTTTCAGATCCTAAATGAGATTAAATTTAGGACAAATTACACTTTATCCTCTATAGTTTAGTTTTTTAACATAACCCCCTCATGATTTGGATTAAAGTATCAAAGTGACGGAAATGATCATTCGTAACGGAACCTTTTAAAATGTTAAAATTACCCTTATAAATACATGACACACTAACCCGTATGATTTTATATTTTACCATATAACCCTCTTTTGGTTTAAAACTTTACCATATAACCCCCTTATGGTTTTGGACTAGTCACTGAGCATATTTTACTCTCTTCTTTTTATCCTCAACCATTGCATGCAGATGCAAAATGATAAACAAATATCTAATATTGTGCAAAACTTCATCGGCCTGTCTTATGGGGCTGTAAAATGAAGATGATGTCTTCTTCTCCAATAAATCACGATTTTCCTCTTTGCTAGTTAATTTTCTTTTATACTAGCTACAAACCTAATCAGGTTAATAGGGACGAAAAACCATCCAAATATCCCCAGATGAAAAAAAGATCACGGCACTTCGACAGACTGCCCGTTGAAATTTTGTGCCACACCTTTTTAAAGTTCACTGAAGCGTAAATACAGACGCTTTTATCAGCAGCTGAAATTTGTTAATTTGATCAATCATCTGCATCTGCATCATAAATCAACCTAAATCTATAAGTTCAAAAGAAAAAAGTAGTATGTATAACAAATGTCCCATGACTTAAAGACTAATGTCTGTGATTGTCAACTCATTGAGTTAATTCTAAGGGATTTTTTTTTTTTGAAAAAAAGGAAGAAAACAACTCATGATGGAATGATCTTATGGTTCTTAATTAAGTTCAAGAATTTGCAAGCAGAATTTAAGGTGCACAAAATCCTAAACTATAATATTACGAGGCTCTACAGTTATAGTATCAGTTAGAAAAGCCTAAATCCAACTTCTGAAAGGAGACCAACGGCCATAGATTTTCTGAAGAGGAAAAATGTACAGCGTAGCTCGGCCCAAGCCCAAAAACCGAGCCACATCAACTTGCCAACCACAAACCTGAAGCCGGGCAATCCGGGGTTGCAACTCACGCACCATCTGCTCGCCTAGACCACGATCACACAGCTGAGCACGCCCTCTTTCAAACCGGCCAAAAAAAAAAAAAAAAGGAGGAGAACTCAACAGTAGAACTTGGTAGAGATTCTCCTCCTCCCAAGTTGGCTCTAGGGTTTCTTCGGATGAAATCCAACTTGATGCAGTGTTGTTGTACTGCAATTCTCTCTATCATTCGATTGGTATTGGTAGATAAAAAGTCAAGTTAAAATTTGGTTCTTTTCCTAATTCCTCTATGGCAGAGACTTCCCGTTCTCGAGTCACCATAACCCTAGGTCGCGCTGGTCAGGTAAATTCCTTAATAAAAAATTTCAGTTTCAGTTTTATCCCTTTTTGGTTTTTCCTTGACCTTTATTCATTTCATGATTGGGTACTCAGTTCCCTGGGAAAATGAGAAAATGGGACATTTGATCGTTTATTATCATCAGGTGGTTAAAAGGGCAGGTCCTGGTGTTGATGATAGTAGTTCATTTGCTGATTCACAACATCCCGTTGGGGCTAAAAGATCAGTTAGGGATAGGCTGGGAAGCAATGTGGATTCATCATCCAATTTTAACAATAAACGGTTTGCATCATCTATTTATTTTTGTATGTTGATTTCTTTACGTTTTTGTTCATGTGTAGTTAATTACATTCATTTAAGCTAATCTGCCGTGGAGGGAATTGGTGGAATGTCTATTCCGTTTCGTGAAAATTTGGTATTTTTGAGCAAGGGTAGTATGAAGCTGGCTTATGCAGAGTTTGGATTTAAGATCAGAATTTTATTGTTGAAATGTATGGTTTTTGCAGCCAGCGAGGAGATGTTAGTAGATTGAGTCGAAGTGCCTCTAACGATGTGGACGGTAATAGATTTACTAGAACAAGTACTACAAAGTTGTTCATAGTTTCTTAGATAATGAATACTTGACTGATTTGGAAATCCTGATCTTTTTACGCTGAAGAAGATGTTACTCTGAATAAAGATGACTTGCGGTTCAAAATTATGCACAAAACTAGTCTTAACAAGGGTCAAAGTTCCCGCCAGCTGAATGGAATGGACCTTCGTGACTTGCTGTCAAGGCCTGCCCAGTCTTCAACAAGTAGCCTAGGTACGCAGCAATGGATGCCTCAGCTGAAGGATCCAAGAAAGCATTTTCCAGAGCCGAGGGACGGTAGACACCAGATGCTAGAGCCGAGGAATGCTAGATATCTTATGCCTGAACCAAGTGATGGTAGACGACATGTTTCAGAACCCAGGGATGCTAGGCAGCCCCTTTCTGAATCCAGGGATGTTAGATATGTCATGCCAGGGCCAAAAGATGATAGAAACCTTAGGCTGGGATCAAATAGTTCAAGCTTTCCTGGTCAAATTCGATCCTCACGAACTACTGATTCTTTGCCACATTTAGACTCGTTAAGAAATTCTTATTCTCCTTGGACTTTGGATAGTTTGAGGCAAGGAGGTAGGGTTGCAGGTTCTTCTAGAGGTCTCACTCCGTCAAGGAGGAATGAAGAGCTAGAGGAACTGCCTCTAGTAAGGGCTTACAATGAATCTAGGGGGAGTTCATATATGAGCAAGGAAGCTTTGGAACATTCATGCCCCATCAGTTCTGCTCCTTACGTGGCAAAAACAGCACAAACGGCTGCTCCTGCAAAGTCCATGGCACCGCCACTTGCTTCGCTTCCTCCATCAGTTACTCTTTCACAGAGAAGTTCATACACAGTATAAAAACTACTAAACTCCTTCCTTTCCTCTTTCTGTCCTGGAATTTTCGTGGTGACACTGCTTATTGCTATGATAGCTAACTCAAAATGCCCTTCCAGGGCAGCTAACTTGAATTTATAGTTGAATTAAATGGCACCATGGGGTGTTTTCTCAACTTAGGGTCATTCTCAGTCGCTGCCATGAATCTCCTTCTGTCTAGTGGAGTCTTTCTCTATAGCTGTAGGAAGCACTAAGCAGAATTTATAGCAAAGTTTTTGGATGTCAATGTCAATGCACTTCCCGCTCCCTCCCCCCCCCCCCCCCCCAACAACAACCCAAAAAAAAAACCCCATGGGAAACAGTTAAAGGTGTGCACAGCAACCCTGTCTGATCAAGGGAAGGGGGGGTTAAAAAAAAAAAAAGTTGTCACCATCAAAAGCATTAAGCTCTAATAGTACTAGTTGTGTGTGCTCAACACATCCATGCCTTCTTAACGGCTTATTTTTCTGCAGGTTGAGGATCAACCTACAGTTGATAGCTTTTTGCATTCCCTGGGGCTAGATAAATATGCCATCAACTTTAAGGCTGAGGAGGTATGTGTCTTTTTTTTTCTTTCAGTGTTCTTGCAGTTGGAATTTGTTATTTTGATGGTAAGCAACGTTCACCTAATATGATGTTTTTCTGGAAAACCATTATCTTAATGCATAATTAGGAATTCGAACTATGGCAGTAGCAGGCTTGCTTAGGATCCTCCTTTGCTTTGTTTTTTGGTTTCTCAAATGATTCTCATGCAGGTCTTTATGGGGCCTTTTTTAACATTCACCTGAAAGGCTTGTGGCATGGGATATCAATTCCATAGCTCTGATCCTGCTTCTTGTAGCTTTGAAATTCTTCATATATTCTATATTCACCTAGTGTTCTCCTTGCTATCCTTTAGGTTTAGTAATGGTAAAGTGTTGCTGTATTACAAAATAAAACCTAAGCAAAAAGAACCAGATTTACAAGATAAGGAGAATGAAGGGCATTGGAGGTTCCTATGTAGATTCTTAAGGTTTAAAGCTTAAAACCAACACCCACGCAACCCCTGACCCCCTCCCCACGCATCCCCCACTGCCCCCCCCCCCCAAAAAAAAGAAAAGAAAAGATAGCCCTTTTAGAACAAATATGACATCTGATTGTAGAAATTTTTTATGTTGATTGTATTGCTTATCAGGTGGATATGTATGCATTGAAGCAGATGCGTGACAATGACCTCAAAGAGTTGGGAGTACCCATGGTAATCTTTGAGCAGCTATTTTGTTCATTGTTTGCTCAGTAGTTCATTGTGTCATGTTTTTCCTTCATTTTTGTACGGGGGCACTTTTGCATAAGGTTTCATTGGACCATCCCATACACAGAGATCTCTGTTGTTATCAAAATATGGTATATTTAGTTCCTTAGCTACAGTTTTCTACCTAAAGGTTATTGTAAAGACTTTTCTTTTTGGGTGAAACAGAAAAAGCTTTGTACGATTGATGTGTAGCTTAATTAAGCACACAAGAATCTTGAAGATAAGGCTATTACATGTGCAGACTTAAACCATAATGGTGGCTTTTGTCGGCATAGGCAAAAGATTGTGGAATTTCTTCGAGTATGCTTTTTCATGTGATTTTAACTAGAAGGGATCAAATTGACACCTTGTCAGCACGTTCTTTTCTTTTTTGGCGTTTCCTGATTTTTCTTCCGTCTAGATGGTGTTTTACTTGAGTAGGTTAATGATATAATTATGGTGATTCTTGATGGCCAGGAGTAAACTGCAGTCATTAGTCCTACAATTGTTATGTCCATCACCTATACAAAATTGACACCTCATGTTTGTTTTCTTCACGTTTTTGTTTTTGGAATCTCTATTCGGCCGCTATTATTTACTGGAAACTAACTGTAACTTTGGGCTTAAGGATGCCTTTTTCCCTTTTAACTGTCCTACTTTACTATCTTGTTCCTTTGTCATATAAAGAGTGTTCGTGTTAATGTATTGTAGGGACCCAGGAAAAAGATCATACAAGCCCTGCTGGCTCGAGCTAAGAGGCAGATATGAATCACACTTGGGAGGTAGATAACAAAATGTGGTTGAGAAGTTTCTAGAAAAGGTTAAGGGCAATTTTGGACCCTACAACACATGGAGATTTGTTCTGAAAGGGTTCTGGAAGGCTATGCATGACCTACGCACACCCATATAGCCTTTGAGATGTAATGGTGGTGGTTGATAGTTGCTGATAACATGTATAATTTTTGGCGGTGTTAGTTTCTAACGGCTAATGTTATATGGAAGATGTCCTGGTTTTACTTACTTTGACCTCTAAACGAGATTTTTCTTTCCTTTCCTTTCCTTTCGGGTGCGATGAGGGAATTAGGGGGCTAGGGATACAGGGAAACGGAATTTGAATCCCATTCCCTTTAGCTTGGCAGACGTTTGTGAATGACCAATGTGCTAGCCCCAATGGTTATTCTCAGATTCTATAGTCTACATCTTTCGTTCTGCTCATCTCCTAGCATGGGCTTTTTTTTTTTCTTTTAATGTTTGATAGGTCGGTGCCTTTTTGTTGCTAATGTGATTGCGGGCATTGTGGCAAATTGGAAATGGTAGCCAAGTAAGCGTAGTGGAAAAAAAAAATGGTAAACACTAGACATGGCGGATTAGGAGATGCAGGTTACATATGAATAGCTGGCAAAATAGGGGGGGAAAAAAAAAAAGAGGTCCTGAGAGTATGAGAGAAATTATTTTTGGACATTTCGTCGATTCCATGTGATGCGTAATTAGGTTGTGATTAGTGAGTGCGTGTCTCTGTTCCAAGTACACAACTAAACGGGTTAAATCCCTAGTTTTCTCAAGGCGTCCAAAACTAGGTGATACAAAACGAAAGCAGAATCTTTTTAATATTTGTGCGGGACACGACAGAAAGATAGAGTCGTAGTAGTAGTAGTTAATTGACCCCATTGAAGAAAATAGAAATGTGCGTCTGTACTTGGGAACAAAATTAGGTGTAATAGTGAAGCAGTTGAAGGCTCTGTTTTGAGTTGTAAATAAATGTCAATGGAATTACCGGTGCAACCGATTCAGAGAGAGAGCTGATGGTAGCTTGAAATGATTCCAAATCGACCTAAACTCCGTATCCTAATAATCAATAAAGACGTGTTGATTGTTCATTATTACCTAAGAATTCTAAGCTAACCCCATCATGTTAAAAAAAATTTCTTCTGTTTTAGGTTTACCAGACAACCGGTGAACTTGTTGGCAGGCAGGCATGTAATACTAATGCCCCCTCTCCATTCTCCATCATTTCTTACTTTTCTATCTCTCTCGAATGTTGTCTAATCACGAAAATTTTATCAATTTAGTTTGATGGCACCGTGTCTGCGCTCATTGGGGATGATTGTTTAATCTTCTTGTTGTTTAAAAGAAAAGCCGTAATTAAGTTAAACTTATTTTTTTAAGTCGCAATATATATATATATATATATATATATATATATATAATGATGGATACATCTGTACTTAATTCTTCTACTGAACCCCAATACGATGTTTAGACTTTTGGTTTTGGGGGAGTCACTTTCGTTATGATTTGTTTGGTTCAGGCTTACATTAGACGTCTGGCTTTCGTGCAGAGGCTGTTTCTTGATTTTGAATACCGAAATTGCCGAGTTCCACGTCTGGGAGCCAATTCTCAATCTTTCCAAAACACGTGCCCTTTTAATCTTTACTCACATGAACTAATTCATTTGTGGGAGGTAAACTAATTACGTACCGTACCACCCCACCCTAAACTCGTCTGGCTGAATAAAAAATGACCTGAATGATGTTTTAAGTTCTTTGTACAGTAAAAATTCAATGAATTTCACAGCCACCAATGCTTGATGGACATACATGCACTGAGAAGTTTTAACACTTGAAAAAAGCGCCCGTTTGTTGTTAGGAGAGTGTTGTTTTGGGGGGGTTGCTTGATTTGGGTTTGGATTTCTAACAATTTTACTGAGCTCTCCTGAGGTTTTGAAAATTACATATACCTCCCTTGATTTGATAGTTTTAGTAACAAAACCTTAAAATAATATTGACTTAGTCAAATTTTTAAATGAATATCCAAAAATGCCCTTGTGTAATGAGTTTTAATTTACTTCCCTATAAAGTTATAAGATTATCTAATGTAATTATAATGAAAAGGTACCAAAATTTTCATGTCCATACCTACTATTTGATAAACAACTATAATAATAATAATTTTATTACTATGGTAGGATACTTTTGATGGTATTTTATTATGGATTTAGATTTATAAGATAGAAAATAAAATGTTGAAATAATTGATTCAGAATTTATGATTTTTTTTGAGTAGTGAGATTATCATAATTTAGTAGTGATTTTGGGCATTTCTTTTTGATTTATTGTTAATTTTAATATATATAAAAAAAAAGAAAACAAAGATTAGCGAAAAAACATCGGATTACGTATAAAGTTAACTCATCAAAAAAATTATTAGTTCGACATTTGGTTACAATAGAAACTAGAGATAATAGTGATAATTTTACAATTTTATTGGCAAAAAATTAAAATAAAAAGGAATAAGAAGGAAAAATAATGAAAAATAATTTTAAAGTCATTCTAAGCATAACATACCAAATAAGGGAATTTCATTAAAATATTTAAGAGTAGTGTTGTCATTTCAAATGACAAGAGAGATATGTGTAATTTTTCAAATTTCAGGGAGCCCAGTAAAATTGTCATAAACCTCAGGGGAGGTTTCTAAAATTATCCCTTAAGTAAAACTAGGATATATTAAGATATTTGCTTTAAAATATTCAAAATCACTTTGACTCGTAGCTTGCCTCTTTCCCTTAGTTTGAAATGGCCTGCTAATAAAAAACATTATTGATACTAACAAAAAGTAGCTGCTATTATGGTTCAACTAATCTGTTGAGACACTCGGAAAAGAAAAATCTTCAGTCGATAAATGATGGAGTAAGTATCTAAAAATTTTTTTTACGTGTGCTGTGAATAGTACGTTATCGACCAGAATACCATTGCTCAGTGAGTTCTGATAGACGTAGGTTCCATCTGCATATGCTTGGTTGTGCAACCATTCAATAACGAACCCGTAATAAAAATTTAAAAAAAAGGCCTAGCTACTGTCTTTTCAAACCGGATATATACAGGCCAATTCATTCACGGTAAATTATGTGACATGATCGCAGAAAACTTCTTGATTTAACAAGTTTGGCTGTTTCTTGATTTGGAATCTGAAACAAACAGCCGAGTTGCATCTCAATCTTTTCAAACACGTCCGGGCCCTTTGAATCCCACTTACATGAACTAAAATTTTGATACTGGCTGGAAAAAATTAAAAAAAAAAAAAACTAATTAAGCATTCTACTTCCGATTAATTGGAGATTTGCATTAATGATTCTGGAAAGCTTTTGTACTGTAGATTCAATGAATCTTACAACCGCCAATACTTGCCTTCTCATGCAGAGAGCTAGCAGCAGTATAAAACACTTTCTTAATTGCCCGATTTGAGTTTGGATTAAGTAAACGTGGGATTAAGATATGGAAAAGATATACTTTAAAATCGCTTACTTCAGAAAGAAAAATTAATATTTAAAAATCACATTGACTGATAACTCACCTCTTTCGGTCTTTCTCCTCCGTCGAAGCGGTCTGTCAAACCGATGGGACTAACAAACAATACGGAGGAGGGGCAGCTAGCTATTAGGAGTGGGTTTTCATATGTTGAGATACATCCGAAAGAAAAATCTTCAGGAGATCAATTTCAGCTTCCGTTCAGAAATGATATCTACAAAATTGTATGAGATTAACAAATTAAATGTTTACACCATTTTTATCAGTAATTGTGGTGCGCGGTTGCCTTCCGGGACTGTAAATCGCGTGTTTTACTTGGTATGAAACAACCGGGCCTTTGTAGGCGCTCTATGAATTTTGAAAGATCTTCAATTGATTTAAGCTTGGTCGTGCCAATTCATTAAGATGATCTCATGCAGCTCGGTAATTTTTAACGTGAAAAAAAGGGTATAAATGCAGAAACAAAACTTCTTTTAAGTTAATCCTCCCCAAACCACCATTTGCTTGCCTTTTCAGCCTCTCCTCTATAGCTAGCGTGCGACTGCAACAATGAAGGAAGCCGTCAGGAACCCGGAGGAAAATCAAACAAAGCATAACTACTGATGCAGTTTAGTTACTTGTTAATGTAGAAAAGCTTTTATTCTCAATGTTACTATTTTTGTCATTGTTAGGCGAATTCTTTGCCAACTTAAAATAATATAATTTATGTGTGTTCCCTCAGGACCTTAGTCAAAATTTTTAATGATTAATGACAGATGGGCCTGAAGTCGAACGAAGTATAAAGAAAGAAGCTACGTGATTGACAAACGCAGTTTCCAATCGTTTAAAAAAAAAAAAAAAAAAAAAAAAGATTGACAAACGCAGGCGCCAGCAAGCAACCTCCCAAGACAAGGAATGTCGGGCTGCAAACGAATCGAGCCGTTTGCGAATGGCTCGAGTTGAGCTCGAGTTGGTTCGAGTCGAAATCGAGCTCGAACTCGAATTCAAAATATTAAACTCGTTAACTCGCGAGTTCGAGTATATATATATATATATATATATATATATATATATATAATATTTTAAATTTTTTTATTTTAAGTATATATATATATTTTTTTATTTTAAATGTATATATATATTTTTTATTTTCTTATTTTAATAGTAAAATTACATATATATCCTTAATATTTTATTATTTATTAAAAAAATATTATTTTATTTATTTTTTAAAAAATAAAATAATTATTTTTATTTTTTTCGATCGGCTCGAATTGATTCGAGTCAAACTTGAGCTTTAAATTGCCAACTCATCAAGCTCGAGTTAGGGTTGCAAATGAGCCGAGTCGAATCGAGTTTTGGGCTAATTGAACTGAGTCTCGACTAAATTTTATCAAGCTCGAACTCGAGGAATGAAAACATGCTTTAAAATACTTTGTGCTGTTTTTGTCCTTTCTTAGCGACAAATTCTGCGCCTGCTGCGCTCTTAAACAAGCCTTGCATGCCATAGGATTTCAATTCCCTTCCCGGCGTTGGTCACCGTAGTCTTCTTAATTTAGTGTTCACGAGGGATTCTTTGCCAACTCAATTTTACTAACCATAATACTATATACTTCTTGCTGCTCCTGAGTCAATTTTGGCATTCTCTGGGGTGGAATTTTTGTCCGAAGAACAAAACGAGAAGTTTTATACTACGAGTATAATCACGTGACTTGGTGAGAATGGTTTGAGGTTTTTTGTTTTTGTTCATGCTTCGAATATCAGAATATGATATTGTGAAGTACCAAAATAAGCATGTTTTGAGCTATGACAGTGCAATGGAGATTGAACTAACTTGGTTTTTATTTCCAAAAAAAAAAAAAAGAAAAGAAAAGGTAATGATCAGTTTGATGGTAGGGGCCACCTTAAT